GGCCGTGTAAATGAGTGTGATTTGTGCGGACTGAGCCTGGCCGTGTAAATGAGTGTGATTTGTGCGGACTGAGCCTGGCCGTGTAAATGAGTGTGCAGGGGGAGGGAAGGAGGGCGGCACTGCCGCTGACTCAGCACCACGAGTTCATCACACTCATTCCCAAAGTGCTGAGAACTCGGATGGCACAGATGGGAATATGCAAGTTGTTTGGTTTTGATCATAGAAATAGTTTATAGTTTAAAGTATATTTCAGAATATAAACTTTGATTTAGTTTGCTGTTTATTTGAAACATGAAGTATACAATGACTATACCTCTTTCTAAAAATAATTTGTAGCATCTAGTATATATATATAATGCTTTAAAAATAACTTTGTTACTTATTTGGCAACATGAAATGTCTACATATTTGATAATCTTGACAGGTAGGACATCACTGGAGTCTTAAGATACAATTTTGTGTCCTATGTTTTAGGTCTCTTGATGTTTTAAGTGATGGTGTATTGAAGGATCTCTCTATGTTCTACCGAAAAATGGTAAGATTTATATTTTCTCCGTGAAAATTTCAAAGGCTTTAATATTACCTTCTTAAGCAGTGTTTTAGATCAGATTTCCCAATGGAATAGTTTTCTAATTCTGATATAAGATCTTTTAAAATGAGAACATAGGGTTTCTTTATAGATCCCATAGATAATCCCATAGATAAGTATGATTTATACTTAATGATAAAACTATTATCTATTTTAATTCCTTTATAAGTGAAAGTTACTGAAAACTTCAGAGTTTTGCAGTATTTGCCTAAAGACAGGACAGTGCAAAAATATGGATTCACATGATCCCTAAGAAATGGATTAATTGGTATTTAATAATAAAGTGGGGCTTTTCTCAAGTTTTTTTTTTTTTTAACAGTTTTATGGAATACACTTTTTAATGACTCTAATCTAAATCCTTTCCTCTTGCTGTAAGTTTGGGAAATTATTGGACAGACTCTTTCTAGTTAATGTTACCACATATTAAAACAAATGGGATGTTTTACATATTTGTTTATTTATTTATTTTTTTAGAGACAGAGTCTCACTATGTCCCCCTTGATAGAGTGCCATGGCGTCACAGATCACAGCAACCTCAAACTCTTGGGCTTAAGCGATTCTCTTGCCTCAGCCTCCCAAGTAGCTGGGACTACAGGCGCCTGCCACAATGCCCGGCTATTTTTTTTGTTGCATTTGTCATTGTTGATTTTAGCTGGCCTGGGCAGGGTTTGAACCCGCCAACCACAGTGTGTGTGGCTGGTGCCCTAACCCACTGAGCTACGGGCACTGCCCTACCTTTTTAAAAAGATATTTATAGATATATTATTTTTAAAAATGACATCTTTAATTCTGCAGATTCCAGCAATGGATAGAAGAGTCATTACACCTTATCAAGATGGACCAGATATTAGCTATTTGGAAGTAGAAGATGGAGACATCTTTTTAAAAGAAGAAATAAATATAGAACAAAATTATTTGTGAGTTATGTTGTTGGGTTTTCTCCCCCTTTGTTTCTTCTTTCTTTCTTTCCTCCTTTCCTCGCCTTGGACACTTGATACTTTATATTCTTTTGTGTCGATATTGTTGAGAAATTCTGATGTAAGTGATGGGTATTTATCTTCATTCTTAGACTTGGTATAATATGAAGGTAATATGTAATTATTATTTGGAGGTCTAACAAATTTAAAGTATAAATATAAAAAGTATGTGGACTTCAGGTTAAGCATGTTGGGTTATCTCAGTACATTTTTCTTAATACCTTTCCAAACTCTCCCAAGATTACAGATAAAAATAAAAAAGGTGTACTGCGTTAGAGCAGAGAGAACAGGAAAGTCCCAGTAACAGGCAGGAAACCTTAAAACGTTTTGAAAGTTGGAAAGTAGTTGCCCAAGTGGTAACGACTTAAAACAGAATTCTGGGAATGCTTAAGGATCAGTGGTACCAGGTTCATGAAGACGAGGGTGAGTGCGGAGACGTGAGAAGCGTTACGTCTTTGATCTCTTCCTACCACATTAATCAAGGTATTGCTCTTTTTCTGTCTTGGCAGAAGACAAGATTTGCCCTGCAGAAGTTAGACAAGGAAGGCTCCAGAAAGGAGGCGAGCTGGCACAGATGAAGTGCTGTTCCTCTCTGGAGAACTATCCGTTTCAATACAAAATACCCAAAGTTCCATCCCAGATTCTATATAATCCCCTCCACTGGGCTGCTGATCATTTGACACGCACTGCATAGAATCTCTTAATCAGCAGTGTAAGCTCACTTGCCAGCTGGTTATGGGATTATTTTCCTTCTACTTGTAAATGACTTGTCAAAGGGAAATACTGGGTGCCCAGGTCATTTTCATTTGCTGTAAACGGCCAACTTTGCCCTCCTCAAAGCTACTCTTGGGCTGCGGGGGGGGCTCTTTCTTTCGGCCCCTTTCCTAGTGTTTGGCAGCATTTGTGACTCTTCAAGTTTGTAGATGTATGACATGTTACTATATTAAACATTGTAATGAAGTTATTAACATTGATATAAATAACTTACGATATTCATGGCTGGCCTGTATATGTGGACAAAGAATATAATGAGATCTGTAACTTTAGGTGAAACAAGATAGTTATGACCTCTGTAGATGTCTTATTTTCCCTTTCTTGATTAGTGATGCTTACTGAGGGAATTAAGCGTTCTCTGAAGTGCTTTAAAGGAGTTAGCATCAAATATTTCTAGTTCAAGATCATAGTTGGTAATAGCTGATCTGTAAATGGTGTGCTGCACTTTACTCTTCACAGTGTTTGTTATGTTTCTGACTGCCTCTTGTGTTGAACTTCCACAGAAGTGTTAGGGTTAGAACAAGTAAAGTCTCAGGCCGAGAAGTCTTAATGGAGATGTGACTCGAGCACACCTTTCCATATAGGCTTTTATTTGGCCAGAATGGCTATATTCTGTTGAGTGAAATGCGTAGTTCTGTTGTTTCAACTCTAAATTTATTTTAAGAAATATCTTTTATGTTTGCTTTTTCCTAGGGAAACTGTGTTCAAAAAGGCAAAAACAAAAGCTAAAAAGAAGCCACGTAAACGTTCAGATAGTTCTGGAGGCTATAACCTTTCAGATATTATTCAGAGTCCACCATCTTCAGGTTAGTGGAAAATGTTGGGCATACATCTTCAGCTCCTCTCTCTGATGCCCCTGTTCAGTTTCTAATTCACTACTATCATATGCCGTCTGCTCGGGCTGCTGAAGTGGGAGAGTCCTCAGGAGGCTGCAGAAAACGGCAGAGCATTGTGATCATTCCTGCTGGTGACAGTGCACTCAGCTAGTCTGAGAAGGTTGGAGCAATGCAGAGCCGGAGAGTGAAGAACAGGAGTGAGGCAGGAGTAGGGTGCTGTGCCCCAGGCCCGGGGGACAAGGAGAGGGGCACCGTGTCCCAGGCCCGGGGGACAAGGAGAGGGGCACCGTGTCCCAGGCCCGGGGGACAAGGAGAGGGGTGCCGTGCCCCAGGCCCGGGGGACAAAGAGAGGGGCACCGTGCCCCAGGCCTGGGGCAGAGGGGAGAGGGGTACAAGGAGAGGGGCACCGTGCCCCAGGCCCGGGGGATAAGGAGAGGGGCGCTGTGCCCCAGGCCTGGGGCAGAGGGGAGAGGGGCACTGTGCCCCAGGCCCGGGGGACAAGGAGAGGGGCACCGTGTCCCAGGCCAGGGGCGGAGGGGAGAGGTTCACATGTTCATTCATAGATGTCAGCTTGGCTATAGTTTAGCCACATAGGGTGTGTGCAGATAGGAGAGCAGTTGAATAGGGTCCTATAAGCCAAACTAAGGAATTTGTATTTTATTCTAACAGTTATGGGTTGCTGTTGATGAATTTTTTAAAAAGGATATGACTAGGTAAGATTTGTTTCTGAAAAGCCCACCCTGTCCAGTGGCTTAGAGGTTTAAAACGTGGCAGAGAGAGTGTTATTTTCTGTTCAAATGCATCAGTGTTCTAAGCACCATGCCGTTGTGTGCATAAGGAGGGTATAATATGGTGGTATAATAGAAGACATTTATAAGGCGTTACGGGAGTCTGTTTACAGCTTCTTTAGTTTTTTAAAATTTTTTTCCAATTTTTTGTTTTGAAAATCTTTAACTTAGAAGATAAAAGAAAAATATTACAAACACCTATGTATTCTTTATTCAGATTTATTGTTAACCTCGTACGACGTTTGCTTTTTTTTGCCGGCTCTCTGTTGTTTGCTGTCTTGCTTCGTTTTCCGAGCATTACACACACACACACGTACATGTGTGTGTATGTGTGTGTACGTGCATGTGTGTGTGTGTGTACATACGTGTGTGTGCACATAGTGTGTATGTGTGTGTGTGCACGTACGTGTGTGTATGTACGTGTGTGTGTGCACATACATGTGTGTGTGTGCACGTGCATCTGTGTGTACGTACGTGTGTATGTGTACGTACGTGTGTGTATGTGTGTACGTACATGTGTGTGTACATACATGTGTGTATGTACACATGTGTATGTGTGTGTACGTACGTGTGTGTACATACGTGTGTGTACGTACATGTGTGTGTTGTGTGTGTGTGTGTGTGTACGTGTGTGTGTGTGTGTGTGTGTGTACGTGCGAGGGCTGTCCAGAAAGTATCCAGCCACGCAACATGAAAAATAGACATACATGGCTGGATACTTTTTTTTATTGATCCACTTGGAATAAGTTCTAGGTGTAATACTGTTTCCCTAAATACTTTAAAATGAACCTCTAAGAATATTCCCCACTATAATGCCATGATCATACCTAAGGCAAATCTGGTTAACTAATTTATTATGTAGTATCATATTCCACACCCTAATTTTCTAATTGCTCAAAATCGATCTTTTCTGTTTTAACCTTAGAAACGACTAATATTCTACCAGGGTTGACCTTGCCTTTGCTTACCCATCAGTCTCTTAATTAGAACAGGAGCCCTGGTCCCTTCTGGTGTTTTGTTTTTTTTTTTTCAGAAGTTCATGCTGGTTGTATTATAGACTATCTCACATTCTAGATTTTTCTGATCTAGATTAAACCATAACTTTCTAATAGTTTTGTTAGATAAAACACCAAGTGTGACTATGAGATCATGAAGCCCCAGCGTGGCTCTCTGAAGCGGTGGGTGTCTGTCTCTCGTCTACAGCAGTGAGACGTGGCCTGCTACAGTTTCTGCTGGTGACACTTCCACAGCCAGCCCTGGACAGCAACTCTGAAAACAGAAGGCTGTGTTGTTCTGTGTCCCTTCTAAAGATAGCTGTTCTGCCGGGCAGAGAAGGAATTTTTAAAATGTTTGCTTAGGTGCTACAAATGAGGTACTTGATATGTTCTGGACAGCTATTCACTGAAGCTCGAAGGAATAAATAATGTTAAGAACAGTTGCTTAGATAACCCAAAATAAAAGGGCAGATAATGTACCTAAAATTGATTTATAAAGCACTGAGGACAGGAACCAGGAGACGTAAGACATGGAGATAGGAGAGAGATCTTAGGGCCTTTCCAGATGTGTGATCCTGAGATTTTGTGTTCCATGCGTTACCTCTAGTCCTTAGCAAGTGGGGGGGTGACTGGTGGAGGAAGGAGTAGGTGGATATTCAGGCCACCTAAACTATGTATGGTGAAAGCAGACATTACTAGTGTAATTGTTACTAATTATGTAGCAGACACTCGATGTTACTGTTGGCACACACGTATTAGAATATTAGCATTTCAGAACTGGAAGAGATATTAGTAAGGAAATAATGTTTGTCCTTTACTTAAAATCTGAGGAAACAAGCACAGAAAATTTACTGATTTGAATCAGTGACAAACAGAAATAAAACTCACTCCCTCAATTCTGATTCCTTATTCTCCTGGTGTAGTCTTCCTGTGATAATGACTTAAAGGTCAAATTTAATCAGGTGTTAAAGGACCTATTAAGGAAGAGAATTTGAGTGTGAGACAGATTTTATCAGATTGTACATAAGGGCTTGACTATGTGTTGATCCGTAGACAAATAACATTCTGTGAATCGGTTTTTGATCAGAAATAATTGTTGCCACTTTAATCATCCACTTTCTTTCTGGATTTCATTTCTAATCAACTTCGGAGTGTGTTCTAATATTACATGTATTCTCTTACATGAAAATTTGCCAGTATTAAAAATATCCAATGTGTTATGTGGAGAAAATGTTTGAGTGTTCTTTCCGAACTGTATGTTAGCAAAGATAACAGCAAAAGAGACATATGCTTTATGATTCTTGTCAAGATGATTTACTTTAAAGAGAACAACGCTGACTTCAATATATAAAAGACGGTACATTTTGTTTCTAAATCCGTTATACAACTTTTAGTACAATTCATTGCCTTTATTTTAAAATATATTTTGATACTTCATCTATAGTCTAATAAATTTGAAATGTATGAAAATGAACACCTGAAACTAAGCAGAGTTTGCTTTATACTTTAAAATGCCTCTGCTGTATGTAGCTCTGGACACAGCAGTGGCCTCGGGGAAGAAATGGTGCACACATTTCACAGTAGCGCTCCTGCTTGACAAGCTGATTAAACTAGCTCCCAATTGTAGAGATTTTTGCAGGGAAAAACATCCTCAACAGGCCACCATCAGCTGGGGCAGCAGCCTTGCTCCAGGGCCGGCCTGCTGGCAGAAGGAGAGGCCCCCAGCCACAGTGCTTCCCCTGCATGAGCCCAGAGAACCTGTGCTGGGGGCAGAGGAGACAGGGAAGGGCACAGTCTGGGGGCAGATGAGACAGGGAAGGGCACAGTCTGGGGCAGACGAGACAGGGAAGGGCACAGTCTGGGGCAGATGAGAAAGGGAAGGGCACGGTCTGGGGGCAGATGAGAAAGGGAAGGGCACGGTCTGGGGGCAGATGAGACAGGGAAGGGCACGGTCTGGGGGCAGACGAGACAGGGAAGGGCACGGTCGGGGGCAGACGAGACAGGGAAGGGCACGGTCTGGGGCAGACGAGACAGGGAAGGGCACGGTCTGGGGGCAGACGAGA